CCTTTTGAAATCTTCTATTCAACTCTTTAGTATCTTGAATTCTTCCCTGTGCTTTGGCTTCTTTGCGCTCCAGTGCAGTTTTCAGAGTCTCTTCTGACATCCATTTTGGTCTTTTCTTCCTCTTCTGTCTTTTCAAGACAACATCATAGTGTTGCTTATTAGTCCAGTTTTGAAGATTTTTGTTTTCTTTATGAAGGCTTGTGAATGGTGTAGATGCAACGCAAAGGTGGCCAAGTCCTCCTCCTGCGTGCTTCACAAGGAGGAACTGTCCCCATCAGTAGTATCCACAGTACTATACAATTTTAGCTACCTAGTTATACATGCCATCCCACATGCTCTTGCACCTATTTCTACCAATCCTTGGGTCTGATGTTCATTGCCAATTGACTCACAGCCTTTATTTCCAGTTGTGTGGTTTATTAGAGAAATGCATTGGCGAATGGGGGAGGCAAAGAATACCACATCAAATAATAGCACTAATGTCAAATTATCAAATAACAGCATTAATATCACATACACTTCACATCCAGGGTTCCTCAGGTTACACCATGCCACAGGGTCTTCACAGACTTTTTGTACCCCTTTCACAGACTCACTACAGTGTGGAAAACACTTTCTCTCTTATATTAATCCCATAGCTGTTGGTGATATGCAACCATGTGTCTGTAGTTAGGATACCGGGAGACCATTCCCTTAGCAGGGGCTAATGCAATGGTTAGAAAAGCCAACTATGTTTTTTTTTTTAGAAAAGCCAACTTTTAACGTTCAACACCACAAGGCTATGTAGTCTTTTATATTTACCAAGTACATCATATGCTTTTCACTTTCAGCAAGTAAGGTTGTATCATCTTCATTTCACAGGTTGTTCAGGAGTTTTCCTCCAGTTTTGATGCCTAATTCTGCATATGGTCTAGCATCTCAGATTAGTTGCTCAAAATAGAGATCAAGTAAGGTGAAAGGATATTTACCTTTATGTACACCTTTCGTGATTTTGTTTTTTTTCTTGTTTTGTACCATCAAATCTGTATACCTTTCCTGGGTTTGGTTTGTTTTTGTTTGTTTTCATTTTGTGTACTGTTGAATCTGATCTGACTGACAAAGAGGAGATTGCTCCTCCCTCTCCAGCAGAGCGTCTGGTGGAATCAAACCACACACTTACGGGAATGCAGTGCAGCTTCTTGCCATAGGCCACCAGAGCGTCCTCCCTTTCCTGATTTTAAACTCTGTAGTAAATACTCTCTTGTTTGTTCAGATGACTGTTTCTAGAATTCTCATTCTTTGAAATGTTATCCATAATTTGTTATGATTCATAAAATTGAATGTTTTTGTGTAGTCAGTAAAACACAAGTAAATATCTTTCCAGCATTGTCTGCTTTTAGCCAAACATCATAGATTCATCAAACATCATAAATTATACCTCTTGTTCTAGATCTTTTCAAGCTGGCTTGAATTTCAGCCACTCCCTGTCATTGCACTGCCACAACCATTTTTAATTTCCCTTCTGTGTAAGTAAGCAGCATGTGATCGTGAGCCAACAGTAATGAAAGAAGTTGTTGAAGCTGCACTGAAGACACTGGCAAAAAACAATGTCCCAGAAATCAACAGAATATCAAGTGATGCAGCCCTGAACGTGCTCATCAGTCTGTATGTGGGGAAATCTGAAGGACAGTTACTTGGCCGACTGATCCATATTTGTTGCTATTCCAAAAAAAAGTGATCCAACAGAATTTAGAAATTATCAGATAATAGTATTAATATCACATGCAAACAAAATACTTCTGAAGATTATTTAAAATGGCTAGTAGGAGTGGCATCCACTTCGGTAAATAGCTTGCCTCTGGAAACCCTATGAACCTGGAGAAAGGATGAAAGTCACACAAGAGTTGACGACTTTTGTTCATAGGGTCGCTATGAGTTGTCTACGACTCAATGGTGCTTAACAACTTAACGACAACAGAATAGTACATAGAACTGCTAGAAGTTCAAGATGCATTAAAAAAGGCCATGGCACCAGGGATATTATTGCTGATATTAGATGGATCCTGGCTAAAAGTAAAAAAAATGGCCAGAAGAATGTCTGTTCATGGTTTTTTGTTTTTTTATTATTATTTTGTGTGAGTGTACCGTCAAATTAGATCTGACTGGTACAGGAGGAAATTGTCCCTCCTTCCCCGGCAGAGGATCTGGTGGATTTGAGCCTTGCGCCTCTGGGATTGCAGTTGCAGCTCCTTGCCACTAGGCCACCAGAGCTCCCCTCTGTTCATGTTTTATTGACTGTGTAAAGGCCTTTGACTTTACACAGTGGATTATAAAAAAATTATGGCTAACATTGAGAAGAATGAGAATCCCAGAACCTAGACCATGAAATTATTGTGCAAACAGAGCAAGGGAACACTACATGGTTTAAAATACGAAAGGTGTGCATCAGAGTTCTAGCCTTTCTCTATACCTATTCAGTCTGTACAGTGAACAAATTATTCAAGAAATTGAACTATATGAAGAAGAAAGTGGCATCAAGATTAGAGGAAGACTCATCAACAACTTTCGTTATGCAGATAACACAACTTTGCTGCTGAAAGTAAGTTGGACTTAAAGCACTTGATGCAGAAAATCAAACACTGCAGCCTTCCACATGTATCACATCTCGGTGTCAAGAAAACAGTAATTCTCACCACTGGACTGATAGGCAACATGATGCTAGATGGAGAAAAGATTGAAACTCTTAAATTTTAGTTCATTTGTCATAGAAACCAAGAGTTTTCTTTTAAAATAAATAAGTCTGAATGCAGATTGAGATCTCTAGGGGTGGGAACTCTGGTGACCTAATGGTAAGGAGCTGTGCTGCCATCCCAAAGGCACATGGTTCTAATCCACCAGCTGCTCCGTGAGAGACAGAAGGCCAATCTCCTCCTGTCCTATTAAACTGCCTCTGAAAACCTGCTGGAGGGTCAGCTATGAGTTAATTCCTACTTGATGATACACAACCACAATCTCTGGGGAGGGCTTTGTCATTCTAATTCTCTTGGTTTTCGTTTTCCAGTGCAGGAACTTGGTTCCAAAGAACTCCCTCTACACTCAGCTCTTCTTTGTGGTACAGAGGTTGCTCCAATCTCTCATTGCTTGTTTAATTTCTTTTAGACCTCAAAAGAGTTTAACTAAAGATACAACCTTATCCGGTAGATTAAATCCAGCTTCATTAACATCATTGAGGGTTAGGATTTGCAACATAGCATGATTGCATCAGATCACAAAATGGAGCATCGTTATATAATACTCAGAATCATGGCCTTATGACACATGGGGGTGCGGGTGCGGGAGGAATAACTCAATCCATAACAATTCTTTCCTGACTTCTTTTGTATTGCTCAAGGTCACACAGCAAGTGGCAGCGTAGAACTTTGAGCCCAAGTCATCTGGCCCCAGGGTGTGTTCTTATTTAGTTACCTCATCTGTTGTGGACGTTTCTCTGTGCATTCATGCCACTATGGGACATTTAATAAGTGGTCATACAGGAGGAGTGCTACAGTTGAACTGTCATTGCTCCATTCCCTTTTGAGTGTCTAACACATCCCTCTGCGACTCACAAGTCCCCGGAGCTGAAACTCCAATCACCTCCTCTGTGTCCCAATTGTAATTGTCTCAAATTGAGCTCATCATCCTTCTCCTTCCCACCCGCCCACGCCTCCCTCCCAAACATGTTCCCATCTGAGTGTCAGTGCTGCTAGCACCCACCCAGTCACCCAGGATGGGGAAGGACTGAGATCAGGGGGAGGGTGATGATGCGAGATCCAGGGGAGATGGAAGGTGTTTGGGTCAGTATCCTCGCACAGAATAAAAGGGGACGAGTTAGCTTTGGACATCTGGAGGAAACAGGTGGGGAGAGAGGGTGGATATAAGAACCAAATTTAGGCTTCTGGAGTCTGAGCTACTTCTCACCACGGCAACTGAGTTGCTATGGCAACTGGGAAGGTAGCCGCGCGGCTTCCGGGAACCTCGTCGGCCGCCGTTGCCACTCAGATACTTCCGAATGGGTAGTAAGCCCTCGGGGATAGCTCAGGAAGGCGGGAGTGAGCACTGCAGCAGCCAATCAATAAACAGTACCCTGTCTGGGGTGAGGAGAAGTGTGTGTGCAGCCAAGTACGCAAAAGAGGGGTCGGACTCTCCTGGATCGCGGCTGAGGTCGTCGAGAAGGGCGGGCTTGCATCCCTTCCCCGCCACTTAGATGCTGAGTGGGTGGGGCTGGGGTGAGGCTCTACGAGGGTGGGTCCAGGTTTTTTTTAAAAAAAAAAAAATTTGGAAGAACCGCCCACTCTCGCTTCTGTCCAGTAGGAAGCCAGGAAGTGAGTGCTGACAGTTAGCGTGTCCAATGAGCGTCGCCCTCTGGCCTCGGTGCGGCGCGCACTGAGCCAATCGGCAGCGACAGTGGGCGGGTGCGGGAGAGGCGCGCGGTGCGGCGGGGGCGGAGCGGACGCTGCGGCAGGAGGAAAGATGGCGGACGAGGAGAAGCTGCCTCCCGGCTGGGAGAAACGCATGAGCCGGAGCTCAGGTGCCGCGGGGTCGGAGCTCGGGGTGGGGTCGCGAGGGCCCCTGGAGGGCAGGCTTGTGTTCGATCTTCGGGCGAAGCGCCTCCGCCTTCCCCGGGGAGTCTTGGCTTCTCCGGCGCGTTCTCGGGTAACGGCCCCGGCCCACCCCCGTGGAAACTCCCGAGGCAGAGGAGCGGCAGAGGTGGGGGGAAACTGAGGCACGACAGGGCCAGGGAAGCCCAGTGCGCTGCGGAGCGGGTGAGGGGCCGATGGGCACGCTCTTTGCCCGGAGCGCGGGCCCGGGCCTTGCCCCGCCGGCGGACACTCGGGCCTGATGGGGCGGACGTCCCGTGGGAGGGCGTCCCTGCACCCCGCGGGGCTCGGAGCCACGCCTGGTGGGGACACCCCGACTGCATGCTCAGAATGTGACCCCGAGGTGTTTCCTGGCCAACGGGCCACAGCCCCTGCCCGCCACACCGCATGCGGAGCCTACAGTGACCGCTCTGTGCTCTGGGCAGACGGGCCCCTGGTCCCCGGGCAGGGTGACCCCTGCGCCCCCGGGCAGTCTGGCCCCTGCGTCCTGGGCAGGTTGGCTCCTGTGCCCCCGGGCAGGGTGACCCCTGTTCCCCCGGGCAGGGTGACCCCTGTTCCCCAGGCAGGTTGGCCCTTTTATCCTGGGCAGGCTGGCCCCTGGTCCCCCGGGCAGGCTGACTCCTGCGCTCTGGGCAGGCTGGCCCCTGTGCCCCGGGCAGAATGCCCCCTGTTTCCCGGGCAGGTTGACCCAGTAACAGGCCTCGTTTTCCTCTGCGCTGAGCCTCACACCAGGCCTTTTAAATGTTTTGTCCTCCAAGTGGGATAGACATAGTAATACCCCCATTTTGCAGGTAAGGAAACTGAGGCCAGAAAGCTGAGACAACTCACCCTGAGGTCATGTCGTTCACGGGGTGGGCACTAAGCTGCAGTTCCCCCTGCCCATAACCACACTCCTGGGCGACTCCAGAGGACCAAGCCTCCCTTGGTGTGCCTAGGGTCATTGCATCGTCATCTCAGGTCCTCTAGTGACCTCAGGCATAATCCCTGCATCCATAGTGTGGCACTTGGTGAACACTCAGCCTGCATTATCTTCAGCTGTCCACATCAACCTGGGGAAGTTTGTGGTCCTTTTCACCCCCATTTCTCAGATCAGAAAGCTGAGGTTCAGGGACACGCAGCCCATTGCTTTGATTTTTCAGAGTTGGTGGCTCCACTGCATTTGTCTTCAGAGTGCTTGTTCTTGGTCACCTCCTGCTTGCGCTGGCCTGTCCCCAGCACCTCCTCCAGCATTAGCCTCATGCTGCACACAGCTCTGGGCCCTCATTCCTGCCATTTCCACTCTGCGGAATCCTGGAGCCTGGCAGGAGCTCTGATGATTTAGTCTGTAGTGAATTTACCGCTAACCCCAAAGGCCTCCCTGGCAGTTCGAATCCACCATCAGGGCCTCAGGAGAAAGATGAGTAATCTCCTCCTGTTAGAATTTACAGCCTTGGAAACAAGCCTGAAAGTCGCCATGAGTCTCAGGCCTCCTCCGCAGTGAGCTTCAGAGGTTTTCCCTGAGGACCTTGACAATGTCGGGCCACACCCAACCTGTGACAGTGTTGGCCCATGTCTAGAAAAACTCCTTGCTACTGTTACCAGTGGGTACAGTGAGACTTCCATTTTGTCATTTCTCTGAGCAGGTAATAATAGCTGTCACACATTCATTTGCAAAAAAGAATACATTACTGAGTTGTGTTTGCTTTTGTTGTTTGTTTTTTTTTAAATAAATTTTATTTTTGTGTGTGTGTGTGTGTGTACCATCAAATCAGATCTGACTGGTACAGGAGGAGATTGCCCCTCCTTCTCCAGCAGAGCATCTGGTGGATTCGAACCACATACCTCTGGGATTGCAGTGCAGCTTCTTGCCACTAGGCCACCAGAGCTCCCTCATTACTGAGTTTCCCTATTGACCTTTGACATTAAGTTATCTCTGTTCCAGTGTGGCAACATTTTAATTGGATTTGCTTACCAATACTTGTGCTTCCTTGTATTCTTGTCTCCTCATCTTTGCTCTTGAATAATTGACGTTCCTGTCTCATCCTGATGCTTTTTAAGTAGGGCGCCGACCTTACGAGTCTTATCCTTTATGTACTGCTCTGCTGTTCCACTACAGAGGGATGCCGGAGGCTAGGCTTGGTTTGGGGTACAGGGGGAGTGGGTGCACTCTTACTGGATTCCAGGTGCCGTCTTAAGCACTCCACAGATGTGAACTCATTCATTTTTTGAAACAGCCTTTCCGGTATGAACTGTTCTCTCCATTTTATGGGTGCGAAAACTGAGGCCTGGAAAAGGTAGCTCATACATAGAGTAAGCTTTAAATCACTTCCCTGTCTCCCAGGCTTGCTGTGGCTTGGGCTATCTTCCTTGCAGTTATCAGTGACTGAAGTTACGTCGTTTGCTCTTTTGGTCCCTGTGTGACCAGCCAAAGTTACTTTCCCCGATTGTGCCAAGTTGGCCCTAGGATCTGTGGCGGACAGTGGGTGCGTGGTGGGCTTGCTGAATGACACCATATCCAGCAGCTCCAGCTGAACCCGCATGTCTCCCCACCTCCCCTCCAGGCCGGGTGTACTACTTCAACCACATCACCAACGCCAGCCAGTGGGAGCGGCCCAGTGGTAACAGCAGCAGCGGAGGCAAGAATGGGCAGGGCGAGCCTAGCAGAGTCCGCTGCTCACACCTGCTGGTCAAACACAGCCAGTCCCGGCGACCCTCTTCTTGGAGGCAGGAGAAGATCACGCGAACCAAGGAGGAGGCTCTGGAGCTGATCAATGGTGAGCTGGCCTATAGACTGGTTCTGAGGATAGGGCTCTCTTACCCCAGCTTGTCCCTGCCATCACACGGTGCCAGGTGACGCAGAAGTACCTGTGTGTAATGCGAGCCCGGCCACACAGCTGCGGCTCCTTTTTCTTCCCATCTGACACTTCCAGGGTGAGCCAAGGTAGGATAGGAGGACCCAGCAGGCGTGGGCTGACCCTGGAAACTATGACCTTGAGAGACTTTGATTACCTCTCTGAGATTCAATCTTCTCTTCTGTAAAATGGGCATTAGAATAGGCCCTTTTCAAGGGCCACTGAAAAGTCCGTGAGAGGGGCAGTAGCACATGTGCAGTAGACACTCAGCCCATGGGCGGTGGTGTCAATGGAAGTATCAGTAAGCAGAATTCTGCGTCTGAGGGGAGGTCAGGAAGGTGGTGAGTACTGAACTAGCCCAAAGGAGGCCTGTGCTTCCCTGCTCTGTGCTGTGTTTCTCCCACCATCTCTCTGGAGCAGGGCTCCCCAGTCTTTTTTCTTAAAGGCCAGATGGTAACTGTTTTGATTTTGCGGGCTGTGGGGTCTCTCTCGCATCTCCTCAGCTCTGCTGTTACAGCATAGACGCAGCCATAGTCAGGATGTAAACACGTGACGAGAGCCGCGCTCCACTGAGACTTTATTTACAAAGAGAGACGGAATTGGCCATGGACCGTAGTGGGCAGAGCTGTGGCCAAAGTCATCCGGTGTGGCTACTGTTACCTACACAGGGCTTTTTCACTAAAGTAAATAAAAGGACAAAATTCAGGACTCACTGGCCGCTCTTTAGACCAGTGTGGCTATTAAGTATTTCTATCGTCACAGAAAGTTCTATTGGACAGTGCTGGTCTGGCTCTCATGTCCTCATCCACTCGTGCTAGAGACCCAGAGCCCTTCTGGCTGCTTCTCTCCACTGCGTCTGCAGTCTGGGTCTCGTCCACACGCAGCCTGGGTTCCAGTCTGGCTCTGCAGGTTCTGACTGAGCAAGTTGCTTAACATCCCTAAACCTCGATCCTTGTTTATAAAATTTGTTACAATAAGAGGACTCGCCTCAGAGGGCTCTGAGCTACTGCATGGGCTGCAGCATCTGGTGGTGCAGTGGGCTAACTGTGAGGCACCAGTCGATCTGGGGGAGAAAGCTGAGTCCGTCTGCTCTGGTAGAGAGGTTCACAGCCTCAGAAACCATGCAGTTCAGCCGTGTCCTTCACGCTTCTTTGAGTTGGAATCTCTGTAGTGGGGGTTTTTGTTTGCTTGCTTGCTTTGTGGTATCTAAAAGGTTCTGTAATTACTAGCAGTCATCACTGCTGTAGCTGTTGTTATTATTAGCACAGCCTGGCAGAGAGTACAGTCTCGGTCACTGTTGGCTGTTGTTTTGCTATCATCTTCTGTTGTCTAGTACATGGCTGGTAGGGTATTTTTCACATGTGTGCGCACACATACACCCTCTCACACGCATCATATGGTGTCTGGTGCCTGCGAGCTTCACATGGCATAAGTACTGTAGAGAAGAGCCTGGTTCTTGGACAGAACCTTAAGGCAGATTAAAGAGCTCCGCTCCTGAGTTCTGTGTGGGCAGGGACCGGATCTGTCTTCCCACCACCCAGCACAAAACCTGGCGTCGAGTCAGCTCTCAAAACATGGTTTCATGAACCAATAGGATGTAAAAGATGTGATTCACAGAAGTAAAAGCCTGAGGCTAGGACAAGGCCAGGAATCTGCGGCGGGCCTTGTGGGAGATTGGACTTCAGGGGTCCTCACCAGGTGGAGAGAGTCCAGTATGAAGAGAAGGTATCCAGTGCCCATGTGTTGAGGGCCCAGCAGTAGTGTCTCCTGGAGGGAGAACTCTGGCTGTAAAGGGAAACCAGAAGATCCAGAACCCGGCTGGCTGGGTCAGAGGGCTGAGGGCCGTGGATTCATCTGTCCCTGGGGGAGAGAAGGAAGCAGGAGAGGTGGTCCCAACTCTGAGGCTTCTGGACCTCGTACATGTGAGCACATGGTGAAGCATGGGTACTTAACTGAGTCAGTGGCCAGAAAGGCCTTCTGATAGAGGGAACTTGGGGCAGAGGGACCAATCCAGGAAGGATGTATTCATCAGAGGGGCCTGAGGAAGATGTTGGGAAAGTAGCTGAGGAAAGGGCCTAGTCTGAGGGTGGGAATACTAGGAGTGATCCTGGTGAGAGATAGCGGCAGGCAGGGGCAGCTGGCATGGAGAAAAGTGACAGAGTGAGTGTGTGTTGGAAGAAAACTTTCAGGCTGTGAGACTACCAGGAAGTGGTAGGTGAAGGTGACCCTCATCTCTAGGGCTCACACTGCAGTGGGGACCTGAGGGCAGGAGTTCTTGACCTTCTCAGAAGTACTTAGCGAGCATCTGGGCCCCTGAGGCTGCATCTGTAGAAACAGATCCAGGAGCGTTCACAAGAGTTGGAGTCTTGCCTGCCTGTGCTGAGGCCCAGATGGAGCTGGGACAGTAATTGTAGTTAGAGGTGATGTGCCTCAGCGAGAGTGGGCGCTGTGGAAGTGAGAAAGAATGGGGCTGTGGAGCGATTAGGAGGCCGAATCTAGAGAACTTGGTGATAGGTCAGGTAGGAGAGGTGGTGGTGCCCAGGAGAGGATTTCTGGGTGACCTCAAGCAAGTATCTGCCTCTCAGGTTCTTCGTTGTCCGTCAGTAGGATGGGGACGGGGGGCATGGATCAGAATGCTTGGCAGGGAGATGGGCCCAGGGTCAGGCCCTTGCTCTCTGTGTCAGAGCCATGTCCCTCCTGGTCACAGTTAGGCATGGGTGGTGGAAGGGGGCGAGGTCAGTACAAGGCAGTGGCTCGGGTGGCCCCAGCTACATCCCCTTAACACAAAGGAGGAGCACTGGGCAGCGATGCAGGATGCCTCATGGGCTTAGCAAGAAGATCCTCTGGTGACCTTGGGCCTGTTGCCATCTCTTGTCCTGAGCATCTCCCTTCCCGAGACAAGCTGGGTGTGAGGACATAGAGGGATGACCCCCCCCCAGCTCTGTGTGCATTTGGTAGCCAGCTGCTCACGTGAGCTTGGGACTTTGGAGCCTTGTCTCCTCCTCTGTGGAATTGGATGTTCCCTTAGCCTGTGCTGTTGCTGGTGGTCAGGAAATGAGGCTTTGAGCAGCACCACCCCACCTCCCCTCTAGCTGACAGCCTGAGCCTGAAGCGCATCATTATCCATTTAGATAGGCTCCCCCTTTGCCCGGAGAGGATAGAATGCCTGCAGCGAGAACCAGCGCCTCCACATTTTCTGCTGAGACTCCTTTTCCCGATCACGATCACGCTTCCTCCGCAGCTTCTGGGCTGCGGCCAGAGGCTGTCAGAGATCCAAGGGCCGCCTGGGTGTCATTGCCAGTGTCCTTGTCTGAGGCCAGGCTGTGAAGAGGTCCTCCCCCATCTGCTTCCCTCCCACCCCAGCTTCCACCCTGCTGGCCCCCATTCACACAGCCAGGTCTTGAGAATCAGTAACCTCCTGTGGGCTGCTATTTGCAGCCTGCTGGCCTCTGGCCGGGCCTCTGGACTTTCTCCTTCTGACCTGCAGAGATAGTCCAGTGCCCTCTTTCCCATCCAGGCCCTTCCTCTGTGATGTCGGGGGTTGGGGTGGTGCTTATTCCCTTTTCCATGGACTGCCACCTGACATTTGGCATCTGGGAAGGGCCTCCCCAGCAGCAAGCCCTGCTCTAGGCAGTAACCCATGTGGCTTCACAATGGTCCTTTGAATGAGGGAGCTGTTAGGACCTCATTTTATAGATGAAGTGAGTGAATCAAAACCACCCTCCAGAATCAGATTGCCCAGAGTATGACCCCTGAGCCTCCAATCCACGTTAGCCACAGGAATGCATTGTGATCTGTCAGCAGAGATGTAGCTGTGGGATTTCTAACCCTTGAGAGACTGCCTGGGAGTCTACAGAGTCCCTGGCCACATGAGAATGGGTGGGTACCATGCACATGAGGCATGATCCACCAAGGTCAAGGCTGTCCCGGAGAGGATGGAGCAGTGCTTTTCTCCTCTTCCTTCTCCTTCCCCTCCCCTCTCCTCCTCGTCGTTGTCTAGGAACTTGACAACAACACCAGAAACACTTGTAATCCTGACATTTCAGCCTGAAGATGCTGTGGGCTCCTCCTCTTCTCTGTGACTTGTTTCTGTCTCACTCCTTCATTAATCCCTTTAACCTTGGGTGAGCACCTGGATACAGGGGTCTGTACCTACGTAAAGCTCACTTGGACTTGCCCTCCCAGTATGCAGATGGTACGCCCTCCCACAGACAGCTCAGTGGTCAGTACAGGGCCCATAGGAGGCCCTTTTGCAATCAGAGTCTCAGGGAAAGCTCTGGGGAAACCAGCCAGCAGGTTTGAGTCAGGTGGGACATGGAGAGTGAGCAAGGGGGCCTGCAGGGGTCTGATGTCAGAAGTGTGTGTTCCTTTGCATCTTAGCTGTGGTCACCCTTGGGGGACAGCCTTTACAAGAGGGAACCCAGAGGGAAGGGTATTGTAACAGTGCTTTGTCTTTTTTATAAATCATCTCAGAAGCATGTTTTCCCAGAGCTGCCTTATCAGAGGAGGGCTGATTGATATGAACAATATGGTCAAATGCTTTGAGGTGTTCCTAAGCTGCTATCACATGCATCTACCCAATGTATGACTCTTGGGTGAGCTCTGGATCTTGGGACCCCTGTAGCCACACCCTAGGTGTCTGGAGGACACTGTGGTCACACATGCCAGACCTCAGGCTGGGCCTGGCTCTGCTCTGTGCCCAGAGAGTCTTGATCGCCAGGCAGACAGGTCTCAGGGGAGCCGGGCACACAGGACTCCCCAGGTCTGGGTGAAGCCAAGGGGAGTGTCAGAAGACGAGAGCAAGGGGCAGATGGGACACCTCAGTGACGTCCATCTCAGGTGGGAGTTGCCTGTGGGCACATCTCCCACAGGGTACCCCAGCAGCTCAGGGGATTGTCTGATTGTGGAAGCCCTGTAGGCAGAGCCACTGCAGTTCACGGTCCACAGTGATGACCAACCCAGAAGGAGAAGGAGGTGGAGGTTTTCCTCCCGGGATGCTCAGTGCAACAGGGAGAACGGTGCCTGTGAACGAGGTTGCCAAGAGCTGTGCTGCTGCCAGGCACCTGGAGGGTGTGTCACAGGGCAGAAGTGACAGGCCCTGAGGCGTAGGTGAGGGTGGGGGGTCCTAGCTGAGAGCAGGTGGATGGCAGTGATAGATGACTCGCTTTCACGGTTTCCCTTGAGGGCCAAGGCAGACAACCACTGTATAGTTTAGGCCGAAGGCGTGTCGGACTGATGTATCCTACTGATGCTGGAAGGAGACCCCAGTCCCCACCTCAGGTCTCAGCATCAGGTGGGTGGGAGCAATCTGGTATGTCGTCAGGACAGGTTGCAGGTATGTGTGTGAGTGCTAGTCCCACAGGACAGGTCAGACAGACAGGTGAGGTCAGACAGGAGCATCCGATGCATCAGTGACAGTAAGGGACCTGCACGCTGGCGTGTCACTTGGAGAGAAGCACCACGATGGGCTGATGGCCCATGCTGGATGTGCCAGGCAGTGCATGGCCCGTGGGTGGCACAGGAGAATGCCCTGTGGGCCGCCATGCCAGCAGCAGGCCTGTCGGGAAGGCTGTGAGGGCCCCTGCTTGCTCCCTTGGTCCCTGGTGGCTGCAGCACTGGACAGGAGCCCTTGCCCAGCGGCTGTGCCTGGGGGAACAGATTGGAGACTGATGGGGACAACCAGTCTTATTTGTGTGCCAGAGCTGCTGCTGAGAGCGGGACAGGACGTGAAGGGGAAGGGACCACAGGTGCTGGCTCTAGGGGCCTCTGCCTACCTCGGGGCTGCAGGACTCTGAACGACCGCTATCTTCTACACACACAGAGAGAC